TTTAGGTTGAACATATGTCGAGGTAGCAGATGTAATGTTTTTTAAAGTTTTCGTTGTGCGCGAGTCTGGCATGTGGAAAACTTGTTATTGGATTATATGGAAACAAAGTGGAACTATTTGGCGCTTGGTGTTTGTGAAATTTTTCGATTTTTTATGAAATTTTCGTTCTACAGAATATTGATTTTTGTAGAAACCATCAAAATTTTTCATGATCAGACATCAGAAAAAATTTCGTAAAAAATTGTGTACAAAAAATAGTTGTTTCTTTGCATGAAAATTAGTTTCTATCTTTCTTCTTTTCATTCGAAGTATCAAAGGTCTTAAAACTCCTTAGCAACGATAATGTGAAAAATATTCATACAAATGACTGTATTTGCAATGCACGTCTGCTGAAAATATGTTATCTTTTTGTCCTTGACTGTAGGTGTATCATTTACGTGTTCCTTCTCTGTCGCTCTTTTAATCAATCCCAATTCAGTCTCACTTGACAGACGGTTTGATTTTCAGAAGTACCGCCGGTTGGAAATTATTATGCTTGCAGACTTATCGAACATCTGACGCGCGAAGATGATCAGATAATAAGGTTCTTGGTTCTCAGCGAATTCCCGCCGATACCTTATCGCGAATTACGGACATGGGACTGTTTGTTTACTTTTTAAGTGAATGCCACGACATTGAAAAAGTTATCCGATTATTTTCAGTGAGGTCGAGCTTTGGTTAATGTCGAACTTCCGATGATTTTATACCGTTACAAACTTATGATCAAACTTTACTGAGATTCTATATACTGCATTTGTATATCGAAAGATATCTATGTACTTGTAATATTATGATACTATGGTATAATACTAATATGATACTATAATACTAGATCTTTGTACTAGATCTTTGTCACATTGCTGTTATACTAGATCTCCTAATTTATGTATCTCCATGTTTCTGTATGCATATGTCTTTTCACTCTTTGTATCCGGTACCTATATCTACAAATCACTATGTTCCAAAGTCCATAGATCTTCAATCCTCTATTCTCAAATTCATATATTCATATATTTCCCAATTCTGATGTAAAAAACTCTACATTTCAAAATACCTAGATACTAAAAATCCCTAGTTCTCCTACTATTATATGCCTAAATCCCTAGATTTCTAGATCCAAAAATTCCGAGATCCCCAAATTCACAAAATCCCCAAAATCCCGAAATTCCTCAAATCCCCAAATTCCGCACATGCCCGAATTCCCAAATCCCCATATCCCTAAATCCCCAAATCCCCAAATTCCCCACATGCCCGAATTCCCAAATCCCCATATCCCTAAATTCCCAAATTCCCCACATCCCCGAATTCCCAAATCCCCAAATCCCCAAATTCCCCACATGCCCGAATTCCCAAATCCCCATATCCCTAAATCCCCAAATTCCCCACATCCCCGAATTCCCAAATCCCCATATCCCTAAATCCCCAAATCCCCAAATTCCCCACATGCCCGAATTCCCAAATCCCCATATCCCTAAATCCCCAAATCCCCAAATTCCCCACATGCCCGAATTCCCAAATCCCCATATCCCTAAATCCCCAAATCCCCAAATTCCCCACATGCCGAATTCCCAAGTCCCCATATCCCTATATTCCCAAATTCCCCAAATTCCCCACATCCCCGAATTCCCAAATCCCTTTATCCCTAAATCCCCAAATTCCCAAATTCCCCAAATTCCCAAATTCCCAAATCCCCAAATCCCAAAATCTCTAGACCCCAAAATCCCTAGATCTCAAAATCCAAATATCCAAAAATCCCTAAATCCCAAAATACCTCCAAATCTCCATAATTGGTAGATATAAAAGTTGTTAAAACGTATTGCAGTGTCTTCATTAATCCGGTTACCTGAAGCAATGAATTAAAAGCAAAGTTATTAATTCACGGAATAGAATTTATACCGCTTCTCCCTTAGATTACGGACGGACCCGTAATCGTTTCGCTTTAACGAAATGATTCATCTTTAAACGGCGATGTAAGTGAAACGAACATGCTGTCCGCACTTCTGCCGGTGCTTTTCACGGAAAATTTACATTTTGGATAAGTGCCAGTTCATTCGCGTCTCCTTAGACGAGCGTCCCTCAAAATTGACCGTGTCGTTTTTCTGTTATGATCGAAGATGACACAGGAACGACGCGCTAGCATTGTGATTAATGTCGACCAGTGTATCGGTAGCTTTGTTTACAAACGCGATGTCGACAACTTGTTGGACATTGACGTTAGTCGACGCGTTGGTACATACACGGGAGACTCACTGAACATTGTTGGTAAGTCGACGGGATTTCGCGTGTGTACACCGTCGCGTCGTACTTTAGATATTGTTGACAAAAAAATGCTACGCGTACACGAGACTGTAGTTCACCGAACTCGTCACGCGAATACAAATTACTGCCAAGTAACGATGAAAGGCGCGTGTTCGTTCAATTAATGTTATTACGCGTAAATCGCATCAATTTCGAAGAACCGGTTACTCGTAGGTAACAATTAATGAAACGATGAGGAACTAGCGAAACGTTTCACTGTAAAATATTTCAATTAATGGAACGTGGAGATTTGATGAAACACTAAGAATATTTTATCGCGCCTTAAGTGCTCGCATAGGGAAAGATGTGACACGCTGTTATAAACTTCGTGTCAGCTTTTTTCGAGGGAGGAACTTCTGACGATATTACACGAGAAATCAACGCTATACATCTTCTGGATAGTTTCCAGAGACAAGCAGGAGCCACGGCAAAGAAATGATCTCTTTTTTTGGAATCGCTCCAATGTTTCTCGATTTGATATTTCTCAGGTTTTTCCACTGTTCGTAACATAGGCGAACACGATTACCTTATGTTGCTTCATAACGTATCGAGAAAGTTGTATCAGAGATATTGGCAGACACGTATCAATGCCACGATAACGATTAACAATTATTAGAAATGCGAGGTTTTATTATGGTCATGTGTCTTATTAAGATTTTAAAAAATGAAGCTTTTATATAACCCATAGAGATATAATGTCGGGCGATTATAATTTAAAAGTGACACGACGTAAAAAATACGAGTTATCGCTATGAGAATATCACAGAGCGCCTCATGAAACATAAATAGGTAAGGTTGACAGAAATGTAAAGATGGAAAAACGAATACGTGGTAAGTCTTACAAGATTCGATGTAAATTTAAAAAGAGAAGCAGCATCGTTCGATTAAACGGTATATCGATAACGCAATTTTTAACTCGCGTATTCGATTTAACCGACGGAAGCGTTAACAGATTGAAAACGCCACGGGTCCACATAAATTCTGATCTCGACGACGCGCGCACGCCACAGATCCACGTCACGCTCAATCAACATTAACATTAATATCATTTTCACTTATTTCATTATACCCATCGAATACCCCCAAAACGTCACTCCAGCGTGATCGCGTTAAATTCATTCGTACCGTTTCGTATCTATCGGTATTCTAGTGAGCAGTATTATGGTGGCGCACGCGGTCGCTCACGAATTCGGAGTAACGAGTAAATTCCGATAAGTTACCGGTGTGTCGGAAA